TTCAAAATCTTGCAATCGCATTACGGTGAACCCAGTAGTCCTTTATCCCCCCATTTAATCGGTTCTGACCGTAATATACAATATATACAATGTAGTCGGTAGAATCATTTGATAACGAACATTAAAGGCAGTTGGCACGATAAATCCCCCAAGACGACTAGGATCAATACTCCTGGCAGGATAGAATTCCGCGACCCTGGGCAGGCGCTGCATAGCGGTTTCCCCGAGGAAGGTGCCCTTATAAGGGCCCATCAAGCCACAACTTTACGTCCCAAACGCCCGCCCACAAATGGACGACCGTTCCTGACGCTCGTATTCATTCATTTGCTAAGCAAATTATGAAGCGAAGGGATTGGTATGAAGCGGCCGTGATGCTGCATGCATATATGGGTACACATATGCAGCCGTATCTTCGGTAGCGGTGATTGGTAAGATGCCTACGGGAAACTCGTCCGAAATCGATTTTCAAGTCACTGAGAACGGAGGCTTTTTCTTCGCAGGATTTTGACCGTTTCACTCCGTTCTTTCGCCATTTCCCCACTATATAGCGCCCTACTAGCATTTTAGGCCGAGTAGGAAACCATCGTGCCAACTGCCTTTAGCCAGTTCGAATATTGAAACGTTATGAAAAACTTTCAGGACACCGGCTATGAAGTACTCCCTGAAACAGTGAGGCCTACTGAAACACACATCGGTGCAGTGATACGGAATGCACAGAACTCACTCGCTTTTCGGTTATGGGGTTTCAAGGTCCGTCTGTGGCAAGACAGTTTTCAATTTTGGGGTTCTTCTTGATTTTCCATTTATAATTCTCCATTATTGATAGTGAGCATTGCTGTTTTCAGGACTCAATACAAATTCGGATAGATGAAACTGATACTGCAATCCGGAAGCGGTTCTTCCCAGAGATGGCTCTCAATGGTCAATGGCCTCCCGAGAAGGTTTTTCGTAATTTTATGAATGTGTAAAGATATCTGAGCTGGATATTTCAGTTGCCATTCTCTTCCGTTGATGTGAAACCGGACTCCGTTCATGTTACTACTGGTGATAAGAAGTTGAAGGTTATTTTTTTCGTTTAGGAGCTGCTTCTGTGAAAGGGGAGGGGTGTACGTGGCGGAACGGGAAAGACACTCCTCGCCGCTACGAGGCGAGTTTGCGTGCGGACTTTGGTCGTCTGCGCACTTTCCAGGTTGAGCCTTGTGGAAGGGTAGCGAACCACGTGTTTTACCCCCCCCTCGCGGCTCCCCTCCCCGACAACCACTAGACCACTCATTTAGGAGTTTTCACTGCCATTTGTTTGGAAATTTTCTTCAAATTGTTCAATTGGTAAAATGTTCCAAAACTCCTCTCTGGGAATTAATGGCCCCGTTCGCTGCGGATGGTGGGGCGTTTCGGGATAGAGGATGGGGTGAGGGGTTGGTGCGGCGTTAGCCTAGGCTCCACCATTCGTGGAAGCTGGCAGGCGACCACACTGGTGAAAAACTGATTAGCCTCGCGTTAAACTCAGCTCCCCCATTTCCCCGGAAACGCCATAGCGCCCGCAGCGAATAAGGCTGCGCTTGCGAGCTTCTTCCAAGTTTTTGCTCGGTACTCTAACAGAACAGCATCGAGAGAGCCTTACGAATTTCTATTGGTATCGGTTATTAGTCGTTTATAAAGAGGGGGGGGGGGTGGACGATTTTGCTGCTTCTTGTTGTGGTGTTCCAGCCATCAGGTAGAGTAGTAGAGATCTTGTGAGCCCATAAGGTATACCGGCTGGAATTTTGTAGAGACCACTCTGTCACTCTCTAGACATCTGTGCACAGCAAAGTGAACACGAATGAGAAGCACGCTAATGGGTCGAAAGATTCCGTCCCGAACTACGCCTATCTTTCTCGTACTATTTTTTTCTCAGGTCGTTGTTACATACAAACCTTTCATGGTGGAGATTTACAATGATAAATTAGAGCTCATTGCCCAAGTGAATCGCGACGGAAAGCTGATGGTGAGCTTTCACTATAAAAGCTCTGAATTTCCTTTTCTCATTGTAGTTGTGCAGGTAGAGGAATATCGTCTTAAAGAGGAAGGAAAGGAGTATCCCGAAGATTTCTGGGAAGAGAACTTCAGATCACATAGGGATTCTAAACCTTTTGGATCCAGTAGTGTTGGGGTGAGCAAGTTTTTCTTTGATTGAGTTGTTATGAGTTTTGAAAACAGCCCCAGCCTAGGTTGACATTTCATTCGTTGGATTCCGTAATGCGTATGGATTGCCGGAGCATGCGGATTCGTTCTCGCTGAAATCTACCGCAGGCAATACGGACCCCTTCAGGTTTTACCTTCAGAAGTATTGACGATGCTTATGTCTCAATTATCATTTTCATTTGGGCAGGCTGTACAATCTGGATGTGTTCGAATACGAGCTGAACAATCCCATGACACTGTACGCTGCTGTACCATATATTGTGGCGCATAAAGCGAATGCAACAGTTGGAGCACTTTGGTACGTTATTTGTTTTGGCGCAGGTGTAGCACGGGTCCGTTGCTTGTCGAAGATCATGCGATGGCGTGTCACATAACACGAAAATCAGGGTATCTCCTACATCTGAGCGACATTTTTGCAAAAAAAAGGTACCTTCTGCCGCTAGGTATGCGTCCCCTCCAAATTTCTTCCTCTGATACGGCCTCCCCATTATCATCCCCACCTTTCCGTTTTCTCCATAAGAAAAACTACCGTCGAGTCGAGGGGAAGGCGTTAAGTGAGGGCTATTCATCTGTCAGAGGTAGCTCTGTTAGGGCTTTGGCGGCGTCAGCAATTGGGGGGGCGGGGAGGGTTGTAGCACATATGAAACGCGAAATAGCACAAGAAGTAAACAACCGTAACATTTTTCTATGACTCAAAAAATTTCTGCCAAAGGTGACTACCCTCCTCCGACTTGATACAGCTCCCACTGCCCCCGCCCCGCCCAACGTACGATGTGTCCTGATGATAATCCGGAGACAACTTTGTTGCGTTATTGCCAGTGACATTTTGATTTTGAACGACCTTAATGTGCTGGCGTCGATAACACGTCTTGACCCTCAACAGGTAGCGTGGGATACCACGCTTCTGAGGTAAGCTACATCAGCGCCTTTATTTTTGGATTGTTCCGGCGGTTTTTAATAGATTCGTTGATAGAAGTGCCCATTTCCTTCTTATTTGTCGTCTTTCTCGCTTATCAGTTGCTGTCAGTTTTCTTATCTCTCGTAATTAGACGGCCATTGAGCGCTCTGACGAATGTCGGCGGAGACCAGGAATATTGAAAACTGATTTACGGAAAATAGGGGATGGGAAAGTACGTTGGGGAGCGCTAGGCCAAGTTTTTACCATCCTTCAGTGGAGAATCGAACTATCAGGGGAATCGTGACGAGGTGTACATATCGATCTGGAGAACAGAAGAACTTGGGGGGGGGGGGGCAAAGAAGGCGAGAACATTCGACAAGAATTTGATACGTATCGATTACTTTGACATCGCGGCACGGCAAACGAGGAACGAAAGGGACGCCGCCTATCGATTTTACATCCTGAAGAATCGGAGATTCGAAAATTCATTGCAACATTCACCAAATCGATGGGTACTAAGTTACTTTCTCTGATTCGTCTGATAGAGTCAACTGAAATCGACACGGGCGCAGTTCGGCTTGGGGAAAGGCATCTACAATTTCGAATC